GGAGGAGGAGGAGGAGGAGGAGAGGATGCTCTCGTGCATCCCCCAGGGGAGGGTACCCCGAAGGATGGCTCCTCCTCGACTGGACGCAAGAGTGACCTTTCGCCGGAGGGACCTCTGGCGCGGGCACAGGTGGGCCCCCAGATGGCCGCACGCGAAGCGGCAGTAGCGGCCAGCGCGCCCGGATTTGGCCTCCCCGCGGCCCCCCCAAAAGCTACGCACCAAAGGCCACTCTTGCCCAGGGTCGCTCCTACGTGTCGCCGACTTCTGTCCCGGCGGAGGGCCTCGTGCTCCTCAAGGCGGGGGCGGCAAAGAGGGGGGGGTGATGACCAGGGGGGGTGGATATCATGGCGTGGGCCACGATATTTCCCAAGAGTTCACCGCGTCTCTTCTGATTCCGTCCCTGCCCTCCCCCCTTGGGCCGCGCACATGCCCTCTGCCATGATTTGCACCCCCCTCTTGGACGCCCCCCTCTTGGCCGCCCCCGATCAAGGATGTTCTTCTGCCTCAGGTCCGAGGTACACTATCGAGGTCGGTTCAGGGAGGGCGCCCTCATGTTTTTCGTGCTTGTTGGGTGCTCTCGTGCATCCTGGGGAGGGGGGGCCTTCGAGTGCTCTTCGGTTTGGCCGGCGGAGGGCCTCATGCTCTTGAAAGATGTTCTTTTCGCCCAGGTCTGGCCGTACCCATCGGTCGTTGAAAGTAGGTGCTGATGGAGTCCCGATTTCCTTCTACTCTAAGCGCCTTCCTACCTCAATGATACAGTGCCGTTTTTAATACCCTCTCCGCGTGCGGATCATGTATTAAACATGCAGGGATCTAGTATTCAAAACAAAGATGGGTTCATGCAATAACTCATTCATACATTAATCATGTAATCATGTTGTTTTAATCATGTGTTAAAAACTTCCCTGTACCTCAATGTTATCGAGTGGCTTCCCCTCTTCCCTCCTCTCTGGGGGGCCTGCGGAGACCCAGTCTACTTCCAACGCCTTCCTACTTCATGCTTCTGCCTGCTTCGGGGCGTGAACCCGCCCTCCTGAGCGGCTCGCTCCCTCCACCCTCTCGTTCGGCCGCGTCCTCCGCCTCTGCCCCCTCCTGCATCGCAGCACATCTCGCTCTAACGACACCCCCGTTGAGCTGGACCTATCCGCCAGCGCAGACGTCCCCTGCCTAGCCGCCGACGCAAACATTCTACTTGCTTCCTCTGACCGATGGGTCGGAGGAGGAGGAGGAGGAGGAGGAGGAGGAGGAGGCGGAGGAGCACAGGAAGCGGAGGGGGCAGGAGGAGGAGGAGGAGGAGGAGGAGGAGGAGGAGGAGGAGGAGGAAGAGGAGGGGGAGGAGGAGGAGGAGGAGGAGGAGGAGGAGGAGGAGGAGGAGGAGGAATATGAGGAGGAGGAGGATGAGGAGGAATAATAATACTATTGAAAATAAGAAGAATAAGTATACTAGTAAGAAGAATATGCATACTACTAATATTAATATTATTATTAATAATAATAATATGAATACTCATGGTAATACGACAACAACCAATAATGATACCACTACTACTACTACTACGACTACTACTGCTACTACTACTGCTACTACTACTACTACTACTACTAATACTAGTAATAATACTCATAATAATAATAATGATAATACGAATAAGACCAAGACGACGAATCCTAATACTAATGTTCACACGAATAATACTAGTAATAATACTATTATTACTAATAATAATACTAATAATACTAATACTAATAATACTAATACTAATCATAATAATAATATTAATAATAATAATCATAATAATAATAGTAACAACACTAATAATAATAATATTAATAGTAATAATATTATTAATAATAATAATAATAATGACATTAATAATACTAATAATACTAATAATAATACTAATACTAATACTAGTAGTAATAATATTAATAATAATAATAATAATATTATAATTAATAATAATAATACTAGTAATAATAATATTAATAAAAATACTAATACGAATACTAATATTAATAATAAGAATAATACTAAGACTAATAATAAGAAGGAGAGGAGGAGGAGGAGGAGGAGGAGGAGGAGGAGGAGGAGGAGGAGGAGGAGGAGGAGGAGGAGGAGGAGGAGGAGGAGGAGAGGAAGAGGAGGAGGAGGGAGAGGAAGATGGAGAGGAGGAGGAGGAGGAGGGAGGAGGAGGAGGAGGAGGAGGAGGAGGAGGAGGAGAGGAGGAGGAGGAGGAGGAGGAGGAGGAGGAGGAGGAGGAGGAGGAGGAGGGGGGGGTCCTGCCTGCTCCGACCGCTTGGCAGGCCTCGTGCTGCCTCTCGTGCCTGCCTCTCCCGCTGCGCCCCCGCCCGGGCGAGGCGGACCGCGCTCCGGGGCCTGCTTCGTGACCTTCGCGGAGCACGGGGAGGAGCGCCGCGCCCCCCGCGCTCCTCTCTGCCCCCCGGGGTGGGCCCCCCTCCGAGGCCGGCGCGCTCCCGGCCGCGGCGGTGCAGAGGTGGGGTCCTGGTGGGAGGGGGTGCTATAACGTCAAGTCGGGCCTGTCCCCCTACAGGGGGATTTTCGACGACAAATGGAACAACATCACCAAACATACCCCAAACAGGCCAACAAAAATATTCCAAACATAGTCCCCAGACTATTTTTGGACTATTTTTGGATTATTTTGGGGGTATTTTTTTGTCCGTCGGAAATCTCCCCTGTAGGGGGACATGCCCGACCTACTGCTAAGGACGGGAGCGTGATGGTTTTTGATGCATCGTTCTGCCGGTCTGCGCGGGCCCTCGCACCTCCCTCCCTCCAATCCCCCCCCGTGGATCTGCACGAGCGGGACGGGCACGGCAAGGATGGGTAGAGTGCCCAACTCAGGAGGGGAAGAAACACACAGACACAACTAATCGTCGATTCCCCAGAAAATATGGGGAAATATGGGAAGTGGGGGCGAAGACAGAAACCCCGAAAATATTAAAAAATAGGGGGAATATGTTTATTTGTGTGTATTTATTTGTGTGTCCTGGGGCCCCTTCACCAGCGGCGGATCCTGCTCGTTTTGAGCAGGGCTCGCTGTCCGCGCCGCCGCGGCCCGTGTCCATGCGAGACAGAAGGCCGCCTGCCCAACAGCGGCCGCTGTTGGTTTGGGACAACATCTGTTGTTGGGCATTGTGCCCATTTTTTCCGTACCCATTTCGGACGTCCAAAACGGAGTAAATCTGGGCTGTTTTTTTGGCGCCTGTTTCGAGCGGGTGGAGTCTCTCCCGCACAGGACGCGCTGCTGCAAAGAGTCGCATTGAGCAGAGGTCTGGGGCCAGACCCCCCCCCCCTTTCGCCCAGTGTGGAAACGCCGAATCAAACAAACGCTCACAATGTCGGTCGGGGGTGGACAGAATCCCCACCCTGACACGTCGATTAGTGGATTGTCCTTTTTCGGTTCTCGAGAGGGCGCCGCGGCCGTCGTTTTCCAGGCTTGTGCCCGCCAGGTTTGGGCCCGAGGTCGTTTTCACTAAACCACGTTTTGCTACAGGAGGTTCTGTCCAGTCCCGAGTCGGCGTCACCCCAACATGCTAATACTATGTGCGCGTCGCCCTCCCAGGGGCGACGCGCGCACCGAGAAATCTTCTAGTACATGCGTCGTGGCGGGCGCTTTCTGGCCACACCGCTCGGGAAATAATGTACTAGAACATGGGTATGCTATATGTTCGGGTCGGACGCACGCCTCCAAGGATGACATAGAGTACTAGTATGGCCTTGTGCGTCCCAGAATTAGTCCCAGGGTTGATTTGTGTTGTTCTGGCCCTCCCCGCCCCTCCCCTGAGATTCTAGGCCTCCGAGATGGGGTCCGAGCAGATGGGGTAGGAGGATCGCGCCACATCGCCGATGCATCGCCGATGCGGCTCGATGTGGGCTCGATTTGCTTTACGCCGACGTCGCGGATGCATCGCCGACGTCGACGATGCATCGCGGGTGCATTACCGAGATGCATCTCCGATGCATCGCCGAGGTAGCGGCGAGGCGGCGCGATCCTGCGACCCTATCTACTCGGACCCCATCTAGGAGGCCTCTACACGAGGGGGGGATGAAGATGATGATGATGGAGGATGATGATGGCGATGCTGCTGCTGATGATGATGATGATGATGATGATGATGATGATGATGATGACGATGATTGTGACGATGATGGATCATGGGGGTGATGATGGGGATGATGATGGGGGTGAAGACGGGGTCCGGGGCGTCGGTCGTGGTTTGTTTTGTTGTTGTTGCTTTTGCGATGCTGCAGTTTCTCTTTGCAGCGTCGGATCTCGGGTGTTCCTCCCGCCGGCCTCCTCCCTCCTCCCTCCTCCCAGGCCCCTCGCCTCCGCCTCCCCCCCCCGCCCTCCTCCCGTCCTCGCCGAGGCACGGCGTGCTCGAATCGCCGCCACTCGGGCTGCGGCACGTGCGAGACGCCACCGAGGAGTGGCGCCATGGTCCTTCGCGTCCACTCTGCCCTCGGCCTCTCCTTCGAGCTTGCTGAGAACGGCTTGGGCGCCCACACCGTCGTCCGCAGCCGCCTCCCAGACACCCCCGCGCGTGAGCAGATCACCCCGAGAGGTTTCTCGCTAGCTTCGGCGCGTGGGGGCCCTTGCCGGGCCCCGGGGCCGCCAGCGCCCGACTCAGGACGAAGAACCAGTCCCGGGGAAGGGGTCCAGACCTCATGGGTTCGACGTTTTGACGAAAAACACGATGTCGGTTGTCTGGGCTTTGTCCTCCTCCTCCTCCTCCCTCCGCCTTCCCCCCTTCCCCCTTTCCTCGCTCGCCCTCCTCTTCCAGCCTTCTGCTTCACCTCCCTCCGATTCGTCGCCCTCCTCCCGCACCCTTCCTCCTCGTCCTTCTCGTCGTCGTCGTCCTCTGCAGTCCTCGTCCTCCTCCTCGGCGTCGTCGTCGCACCTTGCAGTTTTCTAGCCAGCATGTGCCTTCTCTGGCGGAAGGCCAGCGTGGTGGCGGCGGAGGTCGAACGGGGGCGGCTCTGCCGGCGGAGACAACAACGTAGCGGCGCAAGAGGATGGAGTCGTTCTCGCCGGCGTTGGCGCGCGTAGGCTGCCCGCGCGAGGTCGCGCGTGGGCGCCGTCGTCTAGGATCGAACAAAAACACACAGACACAATGAATCGCTGCTTCCCCAGGAAATAGGGGAAAACATGGGAAGTGGGGGGGAAGACAAACATCTAGAAGATATCGGAAAATATGGGGAATCTTTAAATTTGTGTTATATATATATGTGTGTGTATATATATATATATATACACATAACGGCGCACCGGGTCCGGGGGCCTGGGGCCGGGACCCCGACCACAAATGTGGGCCCCGGGGGGCCCGGAGGCTCGTCGGGGCTTGCCGGAGGCCTCCCCGGTCAGACAGACGGCCCCAGAAGCGCCCAATACGGCCCAAGAAACTTCCAAGAGGCCTCCAAGAGGGCTCCGAGATGCTGAAGATGGCCTCCAGACGTCCAAGGACGCCCCCAAGACGCCCCAAGAAGCTTCCAACATGCGTCCCAAGAGGGCCCCTAGACGCACAAATTGGCCCATTCCCTCCGTAAAACGTACATTTTTCACAAAGTTGCCTTTTGGGCTTACCGACGCTACAGGACGGCCCAAGAGGCGCCCAAGACCGCCCCAAGACAGCCCAAGAAGCTTCCAAGAGGGCCCCAGGACAGCCCAAGAGGGCCCCAAGACGGCCCAAGAGGCGCCCAAGATGGCCCAATAGGGCCCCAAGACGGGCCCAAGAGGGGGCCCAGAGGGGGACCACGAACCGCAAGCTCGAGCCTTCCGCCCCAAGAGGCCGCCAGGAGGCCCCAAGGAGGCCCCTCAAGAGGCCCCAGGAGACCCCGAGGAGGCCCAAAGGAGGCCCCGAGAAGCCTCAAATCGGCCCCCAAAATGCTTCGAACCTGCTTCCAGGAGGCCCCTGACAGGTTCAGAGGCTCCCGAGAAGCTACGTCAAACTCCCAGCGAGCGGCCGGACGACGAGGCCCCCCCAAAAATCCCAAGAGGGTTCCAGTACTCGTATCCTGGGTGACGATCCTAGCTAGAACCTAAGCGCGCGCGAAGCGTGCGCGTGGTTCTAGTGTGTGTGTGTGTATATATATATGTGTGTGTGTGTGTGTGTGTCCCAGGGCCCCCTCAATGGAGTCGTTCTCGCCGGCGTCGGCGCGCAGGCGAGCCCGCGCGAGGTCGCGCGTGGGCGCCCTCGTTCTCCTGCTGTGGCGTGCCGCGCTGGCTGCCCGCCGCGTACGTTCGCGGGCGATGTTTCTCCCCCAATCCCCGAGTTTCGCCCGAAAAGTCTGGCCGCTCAGAAGAATGGGAAAACCCTGGGATACACCCCAAGGGGGCTATTCGGACGCACCCCTATCGAGAATGGACACCCCCCCATCGTATATCCCAGGGTTAGGCCCCAAATTTCTGGTCCATTCGGAACCCCCACGAAGCCTGGGATAGGGGTCGACATATCCCCTGTTATACGTCGGGATGGAGCACAAACGCACACGGACACAGTGAAGCGCTGATCCCCAGAAAATATCCAGCGGGCGAAGAACGGTATAAGATAAAAACGTTTTTTCGCCGTCGGGGGCGCCTGTCCCTGGGCGGCTGGGAAGTTCATATATACCCCTACGGTGCCACCGTAGGGGTATCAACTTTCCAGCCGCCCAGGGACAGGCGCCCCCGACAGCGAAACAGTTTATTTTATACCGTTCTTCGTACCGTTCTTCGCCCGTGAAATTATGGGAAAATATGGGAAGTGGGGGGGAAGACAAAAACTTAGAACAGATGGGGAAGCATGGGGAATCCGGTTATTTGTGTGTGTGTATCTCTTTGTGTGCCCCAGGGCCCCTGCAGTAAGGTCCCGATGCTATCTGGCGTAAGACCCGTTTTTGGTCGTCATTCGAATGCACCCCCAAAAGGTGGCAATGTGTTGGGGTTCGGGATTTCCAGCATCGGCCACATGCATGATTTTTTCTTCTCTGTCGGAGGATGTCCTGAGATCCGCGCGCACGGCGACAAATAGCGAGCTCGATGGTCGGCGGATTGAATTTTCAGGATGTTCCGAGCGAAACGATCGATTGCCCCAAGAGATGGCAACGTTTTGAGGGTCAAGGTTTCCAGGATCGGCCATACAGTCAACCCGCAGCCCGGATAGAAAGGGTGGGACACCTTCCCAAATGCACCCTTGCATCCTTGCCTCCCCGGCCCATCTTTGGGCGCCTGCCACGTTCGGACAACGTTAACTTGGCACTCCAAGGCATTTTGCACCCTTGCCGCGCATCCCTGTTAGACGGGTTCGCTGTATGCATGGTGCTCTCGTCTCCCTCCGAGGACGTCCTGTGACTCGCGCGCCCCACCCGCGTTTTCTCGCGTGCCCTCTCCCGTCTTCTCACCGGATT